TTAAAAAAAAAAAAAAAAAAAGGTCTTGAGGGGAGTGATGAGTATCTTGGTAACTGACAGTGACAGGAAGGAAGCACCAGGAAAAATGCACAATAGTTTAATAGCTATTGAATTAAAAAAAAAAAAAAAGTCTCATTATAATGGGGACTCTCAAAAGGATATTGCTGCTTTGCAAGTCCAAACACATAATAGAAGAAATGTGAAGACCTTTCCAAGGCCCCGGGCATGGTGCCTATAGTTCTCTGTTCCCCTCCAGGTTGGCATGGAGTTGGGGCGGGTACACAGTGTCCTCAGCACTGAATACCATGCTTCAGCAGGATGTGTGGTACTGAAGAATCGTAGCTGTGTTAAGAATGTTTTATAATGCCCAAAGAATACTATGGATTCATGAGACCTAGTACGTTAGGTCGTATGTTTGTTGTTTGACTCATACCTGCTTAAAAAACGAATTGCAAGATTTTAGAAAACAAGGCTTTTTAGGTTATTAAAAAAAAACTAATTTTTCAAACATTTTTCTTCAAAACCCAGCACTTTGAAAGTGAACGCAGGTGGCTTTGTAGTCTCTAGAATGCAAGTGCTTCACCAAAGTCCTTTATATATATTTATTTTCTTCAGTTTTGATGAGACTGATGCAAAAGAGTCGATGGAAGCTGTTAAGTATGCCTTTTGTCTGTGGCTGATTTGTATTGTGCTGGGTAGCTACACAGTTTTAGAAACAGAGCTTGGCTACTCCTGCAGTGTGCTGCATGCTGCATCAAACTGGCAGGATCCCAGCTGGTACCAGCTTCCCTCTGAGACTACTGAATGACTTTTGCAGTAGGATCTTTTGTCATTAGGGAATGGAGGGGGGAATTACATTCTTTCCCAAAATAGGATTCCGTGTTGTTGCAGAGATTAATGTATCTGCCTGGAGCAATTGTAAGCCAGTAGTTAGCTAGTCAGCCTGATTTTGGGCACCTGGCTGTCTGGATTCTAGTAGTCCATAGCTGGATCTCTTGCTTGTTTTCTAGATTTCCTCAGTCAGACCCTGACTCCCACTTTTCTGTACCCACTTGGCATGTGGCATGGTTAATTACAGCAGTTAATCATTCACACTGTTTGCAGTGTTTTCAGTAATTTGTGCAAATGTACCTGTTGTACTTTTTGGGAAAAAGAGGCCCCTGCCAAATGGTTAACCCTCGGTTGTCAGGCACATTGAGAGACTCAGGCACATAGATAGTTCTCTATTGGGGAAGGTACCATCTGATTTTATAGTTAAATTATAATAATAATTATAATAATCTCAATAGTGTGGGTATGTAAGACAGTGAAACTGTTTGGATTGCAAGATAGAGGAGAACCTTGTAGGCTTGTTTTCCTGAGGTGGCTCTGGTACACATTCCCACTTCAACCTAGCAGGGGAGAGGAGTCAGCTCCTTAACCCATGCAGTGCTTAACATATGAATTTGGACTTCTGAAAATTGTTGAATCTATATTACCATATACCCTGACCCTATTGAATCCTGCAAGCAAACTACAGTTTGGATGATTCAGTTCTCGGATGGCAATCTAACAGAAGCACTTCTGGGTTGGTGGCAGTTACGCAGAAACTGAACTGGGGTTGTTGAAGCTGTCACGTTTTAAATTAAAGATAAACCCCAACTATCTGTGACCAGGTGTCCTGTCTCAACAACTCTGGCAATTGTTTGACTTGCCTAAATTTCCTGATTTTTTTTTTTTTTTTCAGTGGAGTATTACGACGTCCTTGTTTCCTGTCCTGAATAGTAACTAGTGTGGGGAATGATGGAAAAGTGCCTTTGTACTCACCCCCCACACACCTTAATGGCATCTCAGTGCGGAGTGAAATAATTCTTATGTTCCCCCTACCTACCTCACATTAGTGATGAAGCTTTTAGTTTCTTTTAAGAAGGGTGCTGAGATCTTTACATCAAGTTGCTGTAGCTAAGCAAAGCTGCCACCAGTTCCCATGGTCAGCTTGCTTTCCTTGCTTACAGAGGTCCTACAGCAAAGAGCTGTTTGAGGAGGTTATCTCGAAGATGAGGAAGGCTGGCATCAAGTCAACAATAGCAATAGAGAAATTCAAACTGCTGGCAGAGAAGGTGGAGGAAATTGTTGCCAAGAATGCCCGTGCGGAAATCGATTATAGTGATGCTCCAGATGAATTTAGAGGCAAGTTGATATTCTAAATATTGACTTAGGGGTAAAGGGAACTGAGGGGAAATGGAGATTACATACAGTCTCATAATGTAAGTATAAATTAAAATTTGTACCTTTTAATGGAAACAACTTAGTGCCCTCAAGTTCTGCACCTTTCCCCAGTTCAGTGAAACAGTGTCCGAGTGAAGAGAACAAAGTTGATCAGGAGCTTGTTATCCATGTTTAGCCCTGTCTGTGCTAAATCTGCTTTACAGTTTTTACAGGGTTTTTTTGATGCTACAGTACTGAAGTGCTGGGCTTTTATGCTGCATTTCCCGTGTTAAATTTGGGTACCATCCAGTTCTGCATTCTGAGGTAGCTTTTATCTCAGCAGTAGTCCCCTTCTCAGCAAGTGTTGCCCTTCTGTACATGTCCTTATCTGATGCTGCCCTCATTACAACTGTAGTTCAGCTGGCTGGAGATGCCTAAGAGCCTTTTTTTCCCTTAAAGTTTACATCAGTAATATACCTGGTCATCTGTGGTCTTGAGAGGCGTGTGTACGTGCATGTAATTTAATGATGATGTAAAGCTTGAACTCTCTTTAGATCCACTCATGGACACCCTGATGACTGACCCTGTAAGGCTGCCATCTGGAACTATCATGGACAGATCAATAATCCTACGGCACCTTTTGAACTCCTCCACTGACCCCTTCAATCGGCAGACGCTGACAGAAAACATGCTGGAACCAGGTAGCTCTACTTTTACTATAATTACTGGAATGGTGTACAGTGGAGCACAGCTTCATTGCAGGTTGTCTGATGCATCTGAAGCTTCTGCAGTATTGGAGCCTGGGTAAAGCAGCAGTTCCCTCACTCCAGCCTACTCAGAAAAGTTCAAGTTTTATGTCTTTGGTTAGTCTTTGTCATTTTTCTTTTAGTATCTGAACTTGTCCAGAGTTCCTGTCATTTAGGCGTGTTTTGATAGGTAGATGATACCCACATTGTAAATGTGGGTATAATCCACAGACAGAGAGAGATGAAAGGATTTCCCTAAAGCCATGCAGCAATTTTTTTTTGCTAGAACAGGGAACATAACCCAGGAGTTTGCTCCTCTTACCGCCTCTCTTAACCCAAGGATGCCCCTGTCTTCTTCAGGATAATGGCATATCTAAAATTTTACAACTTTCACATTAATCATTCATTGTTTTTTCTCTTCATCTCAAGTGCCAGAACTGAAAGAGCAAATCCAAGCCTGGATGAGAGACAAGCAGAATGCTGACCATTAAAAACTCCCCTGCAGCGCACACCAATGCCAATGAGAAGAGCAGGGCATGGGCTGGTCTAGTGATGGTGGTGCAGATAATACGTTGGAAACTAATGCTGGGATTAGCATGCCCACCGTCGGTGATATCCGCTAGTGACCAGAAGCATGTGGACGAGAAGAAAAGCAGCTTAATTCTTGTACATATATTTAAATGATAACGAATGGTCAATAGCATGGAGGACAAATTAGGAAGTTGCTCATGTTACAAAACAAAGTCCTTCAACCTGTCACAATTTGGGATTTTTACAGCTGAATTATTTTCGCAAAGATGAATGGATCAGAGCAGCATCCCTTCAACTTTATTTTTACAGCCAGATATCCGTTAATTTGATTGTGGTTAGAACATCGGACATTTTGCTGCTAAAGTAACTTTTTCCTCTTTCCTTCCCTTCTCTTCCTCCCATAAACCTGCACTGCTGTCTTTCTTTGTAATGCGAAAAAAAGTCCCCATGAAAATAAAATCCTTCTCCTGCCCCCAAGAGAACATATTCTGTGAGATAACTGTGCCTGCAACAAAGTGTTAATCTTGGGATCGTATTTTTATATTATACATATTCGCATATTTGTTTTTTAATTGGTGTTAGAAGACACACAAGAATAATAATTTAAAAAAGGCAAAATATTTGACACGTGGATTTTAAGTTCTGTTCTTTGAGATGTCCCTTTATGTTAAATGGAGAGAATCTTGATGCTCTGGTATTTTTGAAAAGCCTTGTGGATAGGAACATGTTGAAGCAGCTGCCACCAATGAGGTGTTTGGGAATACCAGGACTTCAGTGACTTTTTTAAAAATAAACCTTCTTTTAACGCTGGAGATAGGATATGCTAAGTGACAGTTCTGAGCCTTTACAGCTTGTCTCCAGAGAGCAGATCCTTTTAGTCTTGGAGCCTGCAGTTTGGGGCGGGGTCATTTTTATGTTGCATACCAGTTTGTATCCATAGCTTGGCCTTACCAAAGCAAAAAGGGTGCAGGAAATGTAGAATTACATTTTTTTAAAAAACTAAAAAAAAATCCACAAAACATTTTTGTATTACTGCCCCCTGCTTAAGATACTTGAATTTCCTTTTTAAAAAGGATTTGAAACCACAGTGTTTTAAAATGAAGCCTGTTAAAAAAAAAAAAAAAAAGGTTGTTTTTTTCTCTTGTTTTTTTGCTGACAGTGTCCTCTGTTCAATTCCTGACTCTTGAACTACAATAAATGGTGATACACATTCACAAAGAACTTCCTCTGTGTCTTCCTTTTCTTGCAGTGGCTTAGTGAAGGAAAAGAGCATGTGTTGAGTATGGCTGAGTAGCTATAGTGTATCTTGCTGCTCTGACTCCTGTTGCTGATACTGATTTAGTGTTCCAGAGGCAAAACTACTCAATTCCATGTGAATAGTTGCTTTTAACACATATGCAGAGTTTCCTTTTGTGTGGCCTTCAAGCTAATGTTCCTTTTTTTGCCAGCTGGAAAAGTCTTAGGTTTCTTCAGATCTCCCAGACACACCCATGCACTTGCACATGGGCAGTCAGGAAGCAAGGTGGATAAACTTCAAAGGAAGGCTTGTTCTCACCTCTTGCATCAGGTTAGATAATAGCTCAGTGAAGCCTTGGGAGAGGTAAGTGAGATGAAAAATGTGAAGGAGGGGGAAGTCTATGAATGGTTAGGGATGGTTCTGGGCATCTGAAAGATTGCAGAGAGCAGTCTGTTAATCTGTAGTCCTTGGAAGGCTTAAAAAAGGAATCTTACCCTCATTTAACATCACATTCCATCATAACTTATAGGTTTTACTGCAGCTGATGTTCAATGTGGTTCTGTCCCTTTCACAATGGCAGTTTTTGTAAAAAGACCTAATAGCTTTTCTTTGTGTAAAGTAATTAGTGTGAACATTGATTGATTTCAGTACTTCAGCTAGGAAAGGAATCATCATCTAATTATCGAGGTTTTATTGCTCTAAGGGATTAAACTCCCAGCAAGAATTATGAATTGATCACTTATCTGATAGAGGAGGGTTGTTCAGCAATGTGCATGTTTGTTCTTAATATATAATCTTCAATTTTTCAGGGTTTCACCTCATTGTTTGTTACCACCTAGCAAATGAAAACACTCAAGTGACCCCAGATTTCCCTTGGCAGGCTTTGAACAGATGGTTTTAGGGTGGGGGGGAGATGGAAGAAATGTTTTCTTCTAGTTCCCCTTCATCCACTGCAACTTTAGACTTTTGCATAAAGAGATTTGTCTCGTCTCCTGTGCCTCTCTTTCTTTTGGAGCTATGAGTGCCTGAAACATTAAGAAATCTTATACAGATTTAGCACTGCTGATTAGTTAATTAAAATAAGAAAAGAACAGGCTGAAGGCAGAAAGAATTTGTCACTGGCGAGAAGCTGAGGTTAAGTACTAATCACTTAGATATATCTTGTCTAGGCCCCAAGGGCTCCTATTTTTTAATGGGTAGGAATCCCACTGTCACTTCATGTCACAAATACGATGTTCAATATGGAAGATTGATGCAAACTGGAATCCTGTAGAGAACAATAGTTACACTGCTAGCCCTTTTCAATAGGAACATACAGTGGACATCTCGTGTTTACTGAACAGAAATAGTTTACAACGCAGCTTCTGTGTGCTTGCAGTGGGTTCAAGGTTACCACTTAGCTTACAGTGTTTAAACGCAATACAGTCCTTTGCTCTCAGGGCACACCTGTCACATAGGTGTCCTCCCACATCAGTCAGTCCTCAAACATTAACATAAATACAGTCTATAGAAGGTTAGCTCCACAGGTCTGAGTCCTCTTCAGAACCTGAGAAGGTGCCTCTGGCTTATTGCTAATTCTTCCTTGCTGTAATCTTCCCTCTCACACTGGCTGTGACTCAGGTCTCTGCCATGGTGCTGCTGCTCCCAGTCTTGCAGCCCCTGCATCTCTTTGCTTTGTAACTGCTGGCCAGGCCCTCTCATTTACCTTCTGTCTGGCTGGCTTCCTCTTCCTGGGAGCCTTTCACTTCCTGTGGGCCAGCTAGTTATCTCCCACAGCTGGCCCAGTCCTAAGCAGCTTGTAATTAGCATTACTGTAGTCACTGGCTTAGCAGCCTGCTACAGCCTGCCATAGTGCTGCTTGTGAGAACTTTTTCCCTTGTGGTTGATACTTATAAGCCATGATCTAGTCACTTTTTAACTGTTTGTGAACCTTGAGTACTTTTAAGCATTTTCAGCTCTCACTGTAAGACAGTTTTTTCAGACCTCAAAATCATTCCTGTAATCTTCTTCATGAATATTAGCTTAGCTTTGTTTTTAATGGGTGCCATAAATGGCCACAGTATTCCAGTAATTGTCTTGCTAATGCAGTATAACTTGGTAATTAATTATACTTCCGGACTTCTATTAGATATGAGTAACAGAATAATTAATGATCAGATTTGTTTTAACTATTGCAGTGTACTGCGAGCTCTTGTTCACTTGGTTATCTACGAGACTTCAGTTAAGTTCTTAGTACCTAGAGTTATGCCCTTACATTCAGCTGTATTAAAGTGCATGTTATTCAAGTGGATCCAGTTTAGCAGGAGATCCAGAATACTTTGTGAAACTCAACTGTCTTTACCACTTCACCTTTTTTCCCATTATTAATGTTACTACCATTGCAAAATTTCTTCCCAGATAATTGATAAAAATGCTGAATAGTGTTGATCATGAACCAATCTTCAAGATGTGAAAGTGGGCTTTCATGGGCAACAGTTCAAAAATAAGCTATGTTCTCCCCACATAATCCTTCTGCACACATGTCAGTCCCTGACTACCATAAATCCAAATCACAATTCAAAACCATCCTTCAATACTATACAACAAAGGACATTCAAAGATTACTCTGTCATTCTTTCTCCTTTCTTGTTCTTTTGTGTTGTTACTTAAGGAGATGGCTAAGATGGCAACATTTGGTTTTCTTGCTTCCATTCTGGCAACATGTAGGTTTTCTTGCTTCCATTCCCCCCGAGTTTCTATTCTTAGGGTTGCTCTAGAGCATTCACAATTGAACAGATTCTTGCATCACTACTTCATCATGTGCTCTCTATGATCAGTTAAAACATTGATTAGGCCAAATTCTAATGTGATGACAGTATGTCACCAGTGAACTGAATGCTATGATACCAGAATTCACAACAGTATAACAGTAGAATTTGGCTCACTTTCATTAATGGTCACTGTTGGGATTCACAACATTCCCAGTACACATGAGAGGGAGAGAACCCCACCTGTTTTCAGGGCCTTTACATTCAAATACATGACCCTCCTCACTTCCCAAACGACTGGCCGTAGATACAGGAAGTTTTAGGCTGTTTTGTGGGGTTTTTTTGGTTTGTTTTTTTTTTTTTTTTTTTTTTTTTTTTTTTTTTTTT